TTGACTTAGGAATTCCACTCTTAGGAATTTACCCAAATAATACAAGTACTCAAATTCAAAAAGACATATGCACCCCTATGTTTACTGCAGCACTATTTGCAATAGCCAAGAAATGGAAGCAACCTAAGTGTCCATCAGTAAATGAATGGATAAAGAAGATGTGGTACATATACACAATGGAATACTATTCAGCCATAAGAAAGAAACAAATCCTACCATTTGTAACAACATGAAAGGAGCTGGAGGATATTATGCTCAGTGAAATAAGCCAGGCTGAGAAGGACAAGTACCAAATGATTTCCCTCATTTGTGAAATATAACAATGAAGCAAACTGAAGGAACCAAACAGCAGCAGACTAACAGACTCCAGGAAGGGACTACTGGTTGCCAAAGGGGAGGGGTAGGGAAGGGTTGGTGGGGAGGGAGGGAAAAGGGTATTGAGGGGTATTTTGATTAGCACACAAGCTGTGGGGGAATCATGGTGAAGACAGTGTAGCATAGAGAAGACAAGTAGTGACTCTGTGGTATCTTACTACACTGATAGACAGTCACTTAAATGGTTTATGGGGGGACTTGATAATATGGGTGAATGTAGTAACCACATTTTTTAATGTGAAACCTTCATAAGAGTGTATATCAATAATAACTTAATAAAAAATTATAATAACTAACAAAGAAAGAAGAAATAAAAGGATACATACTAAAAGAAAAAATAATTCATATGGAACCACAAAAGACCCTGAATAGCCAAAGCTATCCTGAAACACAGAAATAATGCTGAGGCTATTATGCTTCCTGACTTTAAGCTATACTGCAAAGCTACAGTAATCAAAACCGTATGGTACTGGCACAATAACAGATCCATAGATCAATAGACAGAATAGAGAGCCCAGAGAGAAACCCATACATACATCAGTAGCTGATAGATGATAAAGGAACAATGAATATACAAAGGGGAAAAGACAGCCTCTTCAATAAATGGTGTTTGGAAAACTGGAAATTTACATGGAAGACAATGAAACCAGATTACTGTCAAACTCCATACACAAAAGTTAAGTCAAAATGGATGAAAGGCACAAATGTAAGATATGAAAGCATAAAACTCTTAGAAGAAAACAAAGGCAAAAATCTCTTGAACATAAGCATCAAAAATTTTTTTCCTGGATACATATCCTTGGCCAAGGGAAACAAAATCCAAAATGAACAAGTGGGACTACATCAAAGTAAAAAGCTTCTGAACAGCAAAGAACACCATCAGCAGACCAAAAAGGCAACCTACACTATGGAAGAATATATTTGTAAATGGCTTACCTGATAAAGAGCGAACATCCAAAATATTTAAAAAACTCATATGCATCAACCCCATAAAAACAAATAACCTCATTAAAAAAATAGGTGGAGGACCTGAACAGACATTTCCCCAAAGAAATACAGCCAATGGCCACATGAAAAGATGCTCCACATCACTAATCTGGGAAATGCAAATCAAAACCACAAAGAGATATCACCTCACACAAGTTAGAATGGCCACTATTCAAAAGACAAAAAACAACAAATGTTGGCAAGATGTGGAGAAAAGGGAACCCTCCTACACTATTGTTGGGGGTGTAAATTAGAGCAGCCAGTGTGGAAAGCAGTATGGAGGTTCCAAAAAAAAACTAAACACAGAAATACCATATAACACAGTAAATCTACTAGGAATTTACCCAAAGAAAACAAAATCCCTGATTTGAAAAGATATATGCACTCCCTATGTTTATCCTATATTATTTACAATAGACAAGATATAGAAGCAACAAAAGTGTCCATCAATAGGTGAATGGATAAACAAGTGGTACATAGACACAGTGGAATATTATTCAGCCATAAAAAAGAAATCCTGCCATTTGAAACAATATGGATGGATGTAGAGGGTATTGAGCCAAGTGAAAAAAGCCGGTGGAGAAAGACAAATACCATACAATTTCACTTATTTGTGGAATATAAAAACAAAGCAGAACAAAATGAACAAAATATCAGTAGATTCATAGACATTGAAGAGTGACTGGTGGTTACCATGGGAGAGGGGGTGGGCTGGAGGATGAGCAGGTAAATGGGTACAAGAATTCTCAATCATAATATAAGTGGCTCATGGTGATGGTAGAACAGCATGGAGAATATAGCCAATGATTCTGTAACATCTTTATATGTTGACACATAGTAACTGTACTAGTGAGGGTGAGGATTTAGTAATATAGGTAACTGTTGAACCACTGTGTTGCTTATTTGAAACCAATATGAGCTTGTATATCAATGATACTTCAATAAAAAGAAGAAATTAAAATTATCATAAGGGAAAAGAGCAGCACTATGCCAACAAATTGGAAAACTATGATAAATGGACACATTCCTAAAGAAGATTAAAATACTTTTATTGAAACTGACTCAAGAAAAATAGAAAACCTGAATAAACTTACAACAAATAAATAAATTTAATTAGTTATGTGAAATTTTCCCACAGAAAGTTCAAGCCCAGATGGCTTCATTGATGAATTTTAACAGACATTTAGGGAAGAAAAAAATAACGATTCTTCCCAATCTGCCAGAAGACAGAGGGGAAGGGAACAATTTCCAATTCATTCTATGAAACCAATATCTGAAACAAAAGCTAGACAAAGATATCACAAGAAAACAACAAATCAGCATCACTTGTGAATATACACAACAGTCCTCAATAATATTTTAGCAAACCAAATCCAGGAACATAAAGGATAATGCACCACTACCAAATGGGATTTAAATCTGGAATGCAAGGTTGGTTTAATAATATGATATTTTGTTAATTTAAAAAAAAATTCACATGATCCTTTTAATAGATGCAGGAAAGACTCTTAACAAAATTCTTTCATGGTAAAAACCAAAAACAAATTTTTTAAACCTCTCAACAAGCTAGGAATTAGAAGGAAATTTTCCTAACCTGATAAAAGGTATCCATGAAAAACCTACAATTAACATCTTACTTAATAATAAAAGACTGAATGCTTTCCCCCTAAGAACAAAGCAAAGATATCTTTTTTCACCCCTTCTATTAAATTGTATTGGAGATCCTAACAGGGTATTCAGGTGTATAGACTGAACATTCCCCTCAAAAGTCATATGTTAAAAACCTAATACTCAAAATGATAGTATTGGAGGTGGCTTTTCTGGGGGACTAATGGTCTTATAAAAGAGACCCCAGAAGCTTACCTCACCTTTCACCCTGTAAAGACACAGAAAAAAGATGGCTCTCTATGAGCCAGGAAACTAGTCTTACCAGGTACCTAATCTTCTGGTACCTTGAACTTTCTGGCCTCCAGAACTGGGAAAAATAAATTATTGTTTAAGTCCCCAAGTTGATGGTATTTTTGTTACAGCAGCCTGAACAGACTAAAACATCAGGCAAAAAATAAATAAAGGGTAACTATATGAGAAGGAAAGAAATAAGAAGCTATCTTTATTGATAGGCAACATGATCTGATATGTAGAAAATTCCAAAGCATGTACAACAAAATTGCAGAAACCAATTAATAACTTCAGCAATGTCATGGTACATAGTATCAATATACAAAAATCAATTTTACTTCTAAGTATTAGAAATGAACAACCCCAAAATGAAATTTAAGAAAATAATTCTATTCACAGTGGCATCAGAAAAATCAAATATTTAGGAATAAACTTAACAAAAGTATTAGTCTTGTACACTGAAAACTACAAAACACTGCAGAGAGAAATTAAGGAAGATCTAAATAATTGGAGAGACCATCTATGTTCATCAATTAGAGGATTATAAACAGTGATTCTCCCCAAATTAATCTATAATTGAACATAACCCAAATCAAAATTCCAGCAAATTTTTCATAGACATTGACAAGTTGATCCTAAAATATATACAGTAATGCAGAGATCCAGAATAGCAAAAAAAAAAAAGTCTTGAAAAAGAACAAAGTTCACACTATTCCATGTCAAAATTTTCTATAATGCTTCAGTAATCAAGGTGGTGTAGTTGATATAAAGAGAGACACATATATCAATTAACTTGAGAGTCCAAAATTAGATCATTAAATTTATGGTTAATTAGTTTTAGACTAAGATGTTAAGACAATTCAATGGGAAAAGATAATCTTTTCAAATAAAGGATATTGATACAAAAAAAACAGTGAATTTAGGCTATTAACTTACATATTACACAAAATTAACTCAAAATGGATCTTAGCCCTATACTTAAGACTTACTACACATAAACTAAAACTTTTACAAGAAAGCATTATGAGATATTTTTCATGAGTTTGTGTTAGGCAAAGATATCTTAGATACATCAAACACATGATTCATAAAAGAAAAAAATGATAAATTGAATATCAAATTTTAAAATGTCGCAGTTTAAAAGATACCATTAAGAAAATTATAAGACAAATGACATATTGAGAGAAAATATTTGCAAATCATGTGTCTGATAAGACTCCTATCCAACATATATATATATCCAACATATATTATAAATTGAATATCAAATTTTAAAATGTCGCAGTTTAAAAGATACCATTAAGAAAATTATAAGACAAATGACATATTGAGAGAAAATATTTGCAAATCATGTGTCTGATAAGACTCCTATCCAACATATATATATATCCAACATATATATGTGTGTGTATACATATATATATAACATACATATATACATTTTTTTCAAAGCACTCTTGCAACTCAATGACAAAAGGACAAATAAGCCTATTTAAAAATAGGCAAAAGACTTGAGTAGACATTTCACTAAAGAAAATACATGAATAGCCATTAAACATATGAAAAAAGTCTATTAGCCATTAGGAAACTATGAATTAAAATCACTTCACACCCCTTAGGATGGCTATAATAAAAAAGGCAGACAATAACAAGAACACATAGAGAAACTAGAACCCTTGAACTACACCCACTTCTAAACACAGTGTGGCAGTTTCTTTAAAAATTAAATGTAAACTTACCCCACAGCCTTGCTCTTCTACCTCTGAATGTCTAGTCCTGAGAAATTGAAAACAAAAATTTGACTATGAATGTCTATAGCAGCATTATTTCATAGCTGCCAGAAGTTATTCCAAATGATTATCAACTGGTGACTGGACAAAATGTAGTACTGTTGTCAGGCAGCTGCTGTGGGGAGATCTCTCCCTGTTCATTAGGTGAAACCTCAACTGGGCAGCAGAGGGTTCTTAACTCTGAATGAGAAGGAATTGTCAAGCAGGTTGGACTAGTGTTAGGAAAGGAAGGAATTCATTAAAGTGAGAGTGGAAGTGAATAACAGCAGCCATGCAGGCAATGGAGCACAAGGGGGAGCAGAGGGAGGAAAGGGAAGCTCATTGAACTCCTGCTTGGCATAGGACAAATCCCTTGCCAACTTCTAATGCAAGAGTCACATTGTAAGTCCAGGGAAAGGAAATCCTGGGGCAAAATACCTCTAACAACCGAAATCAGTCACAGGGAGAAATAAAGTTTAAAACCTGTTTATTGCTTACAAACTTCAGTCTGGCACCTTCTCTCTTTCCTGCTCCAGCAGAAGCAAAATCAGCCCTCCCCTCACCTCTCAGGTACAGATAAGCCCTCCGTTGCCTAGGTAATTACCTATTGATATGGAGATGAACTTCTCTCCACCCCTGAGAAATGACACAAACGCACTAAAGCCATACTTCTTTCCACCTCTGAACACCTATTGATATGCAGATGTACTAAAGCCAGGTGAGATATTCTGGAAATATTACAATTTTACCCACACACCTGGAGTCCAGTATCTGCTTGGATCTGCACAGTGGGGGAACTAAGACCCTACCACCCCAGGATTTGGGGGAGCTGCAGAACACTGGATGGAGTGAGATTATGTTATGAGAACTTCCCAAAGGCAAAGAAATGATATTTTCAGGTAGACTACTAAAAAGCATGATCATACAGCTGCAGTCCTGTCCAGGTCACCTAGGTGATAGGAACTTTCAAGCCCAAGTCAGAGACCTTAGTAACACTTTTTGACTTCCTGAAGTAGGACAGAGAGCGGGAAGACTTGTGCTTAAGTCTGGGAAATAGAATCGAATAGCAAGGTAACAAAGATACTTACCACTGTTAGAGAGCAGAGACAAGACATAAGTTGAGCAGTAAGAAGCCTTTATTCAAGGCAAAAAGTACATACTCAAAGAAAGGAGAGTGCAGGCAACCTCAGAGAGGAGGTGCATTTAAGGACTTAGCATTCTATCTCTTAAGGTTTTCAAGAATGGGGCAAAGGGTGAGGAGGTTGTTGGGAAAAGGCTTAACTTGTGGTCTCATGATGTGCATCACTGGTGAGAGACATTATGTCATCAATCCATAGTCTGTCCCCTAGATGTTCAGTAAGATAAACTTAATGCAAGGAATTTCTTGATCTTGTTCTTCTCCAAGATAGTGGTTGCCCTCAGGCAGTAGGGACTTATCTTTTAGGACTACTCCTGCCTTAAGATAGGGTCATTTATTGGCTTATTACCATATAATATGTTAGGAATCTTACCTCCTAACTCCCTGTTTTTTAAAATGGAACCTTAGCTTTAAGATGGAGTCCCTCCTGTCCTTACTATACTACTTATATCTCAGCATATTTCATCACAGGCAGGAAAAGTTAATCATGATGCTGTGCCATATCCTTGCCCTACCTCAGTATTATATATTAGAATTCTATTCTGAAATAAAAATAAATTACTGAAATGGGCGAATCTCAAAACATTTTGCTAAAGGAAAGAAGGTAGCCACAGAAGACCACTTATTATAGGATTCTATTTATATGAAATGCCCAGAAAGGCATACACATAGACAAAAAAAAAATAGATTAGTGCTTGCCTGGGCCTGGGGAATGGGAATTGACTGCAAATGGGCAGAACAGAGCTTTTTGGGATGATAGTAACATTGTAAAAATTGAATTGTGGTAATGGTTTCATAACGCTGTAAATTGCCTTAAAAAGTCATTAATCTTAATGTCATTTAATCTAAAATACTTAAAACAGATTTTAGGGTATGTAAATTATATTTCAATCAAGCTGCTCAAAAAAAATGATGCTGTTTCCACAGTAAGTGATGGGCTAGGATTTAAATTCAGGACTAACTTGCCTTCAAATCTAAGTTCTCTTTCATTTGTTTAAAAAAGGAGTTAGCCACTGTTGGGAAGGTACACATTTCCTCTACCCCTGGAGGTTCTAGCTGGTCTAAGAATCGAATTGACATGAGGCAGATTAACAGGAGAAAAAAACAAAGTTTAATTATGTAGGTACTGGGAATCCATAGATACAGATTCCAAAAACAGTAGGGAGATTGAGTCATTCTAAACCAAGGAGAAGGGGACAGGGGCTGAGGCTTCAAAGGAAAAGGGAAGTAATTCAGAGAAATACAAATAGCAAATGTTTTGGTGAACAAAATACTTGATGCAGGGAGAAATTTTAACAAACAGGATTTGTCACATTCCTTCCTATCACCCCTCTACATCACAACATAACTATCTATGGTGAGAGCTGTCCTCCTGGAGCAGTTCCTCCATCTAAATTCTTTTTATGCCATGTGGGATAGAGAGGTCAAAGTATTGATGCCGGGGTTCTTGTTTGCAGAGTCGAAGAATGAACTTAGCAAACAGTCAAGGTAGGAGAGCCAAGGCAGAGGCTTTCATTTAGAAATAAAGTGAGAGGAAAGAGCTCCTGGCTCATGCCAGGAGGGGACAAGAGAGCCTGGGGTGGTGTGTTGTCTAGGAGATTTATAGGCAGTTGAGGATTTTAGGGAACTGATAAAGGGCTTGGGGTGTGGACTTGTTAAAAGTGGCCTTTTACTATAGGGTGGTATATTTTGTCATGAGGAAAGGAAATGTTTAAAAAAAAAAAAAGCCTCACAAGCCAATTGTTATCAGAAGGCACTTTTTGCTAAAATAAATCACCTTTCAGCTTTGTCTAAATCTGAAAGGGCTATTTTTGTCCTTGGTGATGTCTGTCCTTGGTGAGATATTAAGTCCCTTTTAGCATGCTAAAGTGAATCTTACACATGATTACAAATTAGCATAATAAAAATATGGGGGTGATTTCTTGTACTCCATCCAGTAGACAGTAACTGAGCATCTATGATGGAAAGTCCCTGGCCTGGGGATACAGTAGTGAACAAGATAGATCTGATCAAGGGAAACCTATATTCCAGACATCTGAAAAAATTCTGTTAAGTGGAACCAGCAGTCCACCTCTGCTCTCCTGTGTCTCTCACAACCTGGTTGCAGAAGAAGAGACCCCCACCCAACCTCTCCAGTCCAGATAAGCCCTCACTTGCCCTTGCAATTACCTATTGATATGGAGATGGACTACTTCTCTCCACCTCTTGGAAACACCTACTGTATGGAGATGCACTAAAGCCAGGAGCTGAAAACTTGTGTTCACACGAAAACCAGCACATTGAAGTTTATAGCAGCCATGTCATAGTTGTCAAAACTTGGAAGCAACCAAGATGTCCTTCAGGAGAGGAATGGATAAATAAACCAGTACACCCAGGTGATGGAATATTATTCAAGCCTAAAAAGAAATGAGCTACCAAGCCATGAAAAGACATAGAGAAAACTTAAATGCATATTACTAAGTAAAAGAAGACATCTGAAACAGCTACATTCTGTCTGATTTCAACCATATGACATTTTGGAAAAGGCAAAACTGGAGACAATAAAAACATCAGTTGTTGCCAAGGGTTTGGGGGTGGCAGTGGGGGTTGTGGGGAGGATGAATAGGTAGAGTACTGAAGATTCTTAGGGCAATGAAAATCCTCCATGTGATACTCTGATAATGGACGTGGCATTATACTCTAGTCCAAGTCCACAGAATGTGTAACACCAAGCATAAGCCCTAATGTGAACTATGGACTTTGGGTGATTATGATGTATCAATGTACATTCATCAGTTTTAATGACTATACCCCTCTGGTGGGAGATGTTGATAATTGGTCAGGCTATGCATGCGTGGGGGCAAAGGATATAAGGATCTAAAGGATATGATGGAATATAATTCCTCTTAATGTTTCTGTGTAACTAAAATTACTACTTAAAAAAGTACTCTTTTAAAAAAAGTATTTACTAAATATATATAAAGAGAAAGAGCACTTACTATGTATAGATCACAATACACTAAGTATATATTTTTTTAAAATGGGCTACTTTCCTTTATGTGGGGAGTATCAGCTGTTCTCACTGAAGAATGACTCTAGAGCTTAATGTTTAACACAGAGTTTGGTAGGGGGTTTCCTTGCATGTAGTTACATTGCTCTGACTATAAATATCTTGCCTTGCTTTTTCCGGAGGCCCTTACCCTACTCTGTCTAAGCCCATGGTCCCTGTCTCAGTATCTTCCTGAGTCTTTTTGGCCTGATGGTTTTCAGCTCAAAATAACCTGCATGCCAAAGTGGCACATCTTGGGGTGGCCAGCCCTTGGTCTCTACATCAGGCTCTATTAGCAGAAAACCAGAATAACCATTCATGGTCATGTCAGTAGAGCCAAATGAACTGGCCTTAATTAATAGTGTATGCCTATTCTATGAAGTATTTGCATTTGCTTCAAGAAAAGAAAAGGTATGTTTCCTGTAGCTTGCAACTGCTTTGAAGAACCTACTACTATGACATGGTCATTTCTAGACTTTGAAATGAGGCAAAATATACCACTCTATAGTATGCCTCTTTAGCATATTATTTTAAGCTGGGTATTTTTAAGAAACAGCAGACACAGGTGAAACTCTGAAAACTGGATGAAAATTACCCTTTAGTAAGAAACATTTACATTTATAGGGGAAATCTCCATTTGTAAGTTTGTTTCCTTTTCTGTACCAAGAGAAGGATCACTCTAAATCTCTAAAAACTCTAATCAATGCAGGAAGCAACATCTACATAACAACCTTATTCTTGTTTACTGTGCTTTTTCATAGTAACTTCCCATAACTGGCCTCCTCACCCCCACCTCAAAGTCTTCTTTTCTCTTTAGCTGGAGATGTTATTTATGGTGGTG